AATTCTGATCATCTTTGCCTTTGTTTACGAACCTTTGCTTAAGGCACAGGTATTGGACTTTAACTGATTTCGCCTAACAGATGTTACACATATGTATATCACAGTAACTACCTACAAAAATTGCGGATATGTTGTCAAAAGTTGTTATGGTTTGCTGCTGTTTTTGGAGCTATAACAGCCACCAGTCGGGCTGCTGTGACAAACGAGTTTCTGGTCTCAGATCCAGAAGGATCAATGTCTATGGTGGTTCGGCATGCACATTATATGCCAAAGAGATGGCGTGACAAAGAAAGTACTGAAATATAATGGTCCGCATTGAGTTCCAAACCCTACTTCAGGAATTCTCTGTAATTCTTGGTTTGAGGCACTTGTATTAATCTTGATCTGTCATTACGAGTTATCTGTTGTCTATCTGAAAGCGCTGTTTGAATACCATTTAGTTTCAGGAGATGGCCTCGATCTTCCTCACTCCATGTTTACTTTTGTTAGTTGTCCCAAAGGTCACTGCTTTACTTGGACGTAAAACTTATTTTTTTCATGCACCATATATTATAGTGTCCTAACTTCTTCTGTCCAATTTGCAGCGGGTTGATGATATTTTGCAGTTCATTGCAGATTTCACAGTGAATGTTGAAGGTGTTGGTCATGTTTGTAGGTTAGTATGGACATAACAACTTTCGTTTTTCTTCAGTCTGCATCCTATTTGGCAATAGCTTGGGGCTTCTTAGGATGTTTTCTTGCTTTTCATTTTTGGGTGCAAATGATGTATGGTATTAATCATCTTACGTTGTATCATGAAAACAGCAATTATGCTTCCCGATGCAGTGTATCACGCTTCCGAAGGAGTTCCCAGGGGAAGATGGAGAAATCATTTTTGAGATATTGTCTTAGCCTGTTATTTTGAATTGTGCAAGCCTAATTTGATTGGAATACTTACGTTTCGTGTATGCAATGTTTACGCTTGCGGGGAAGAGGAAAAATCCTGTTAGTTAAGTTCCTTTAATCTCTATCCTGGATGGTAAATTTTGTCCGTTTCCATCGATCCATTATTTGCGTTGGATAATTATTTCCATTTTTATCATTACAAGCGTGCGCGATAATTTCTGGAAAACCACATCTGTCTAGAAACCAAAGAGACGGGGGGGGGGGGGGGGAATCAATGCACCACCTCCTCTTTCACCCTACCGGAAAAATTACAGATTTACATTTGATCTGGAGAAGTGTAACCTCATCAAATCCATCCACATTTGGATCAATCTACGTAGACTTTTTTTTTTTTTTTAAATTGAAGAAATGAACATCTTGAGATAACTCACTAGTTACTTTATTACTGTTGGAAAATATATTGAAAGGCAGATGTGTGAAACTACATGGTCTATGAATTTTCTGCTACTGCTCCAATTCCCCAGCCCAGTAACTCCTATTATGATTACAGCTTTCAGAGTATCTACATGTCATGGGAACCAAATACTCTGGGGAAGCAGTTTTTGCTGAATCTTAAAACCCGGAAAGAGAAAAGTTTACAAGGACATGTAAACAGATACGCATTTTCCCCTCCTGGAATATGGAGCAACGGATCCAGTGGAACACCACATAATGTGGAACTGGCAATCACTTGGGTCTTCTATGGCCAAGAGATGCCGATCGAAATAGAAATCCCTATCTTCTTGATTGTTACTACACTTCTCAACCTCGCCATCTGACTTTGAGAGATGTTCCAGCAGAACCATTTGGGAATGCCCAACATCATTCCGGAAATTATTGGATGTCCTCCAATTTAGCACAGAATGAACCTGGGCACGAAGAAGACTCAGGCGAATATTTTGAGGATCGAGCTGCATCTCATTTTGCAGCATCCACAAAAGCTCCCATCTTCCGGGAGACTCCACACACAGACGAAAATAGTAATGATGTGCCAGAATCGGGCTGGAGCCATTGGTGGGCTAGGAGTCGCCCACAAGATGGACAAGTTCAGACAAGCTTTTTTGAGCCTCCAGATTTCAATCACCAAACATATAACTATCATGATAAGCTATCAGATGGAGGCTCAGATGATCAAGAGCAACACTTGGACTGGAGATATTATCAGAGACTATCAAGAACGACACATAAGTTTGACTCAGGGGCAGGGGAATTGAATCTCCATTTTGATAATATTTACAGCGAACCCCCGGAAACTACCACTGTGAACCAAGCGCAATGCGTGGACCAGAGATTATGCAGAACAACTAGTGCATATGACTTGGAAGCAGGGGATCTTCATGTTAATAATATCTATAACAGACTTCCTGAAGCTCTCGCTGCCAGCCTTTGAGTGGTGTGGGTTTGCCTTTCATTATTTGATTGGGATGACATTGCTTGAGAATGGGGAAAGCATACAAGTGTCTGCATCCCACGTCGTGGCCGCCTCTTCTATGTTTACTCGTGGAGACTCTATTCTTTGTTGTATATAAATCCATTGCTCGTTTGTAGGTGCCTTCGTGACGCTGGAGCATGCGGGAAACTTTGATAAACAGCCATCATGCTAGGTGTCCTGATTCATTTTTTATTTTTTATTTTACCTGATTTTAGTTTGTGGTTAGGTTTCTCTCATTTATTTATGAGACTCTGGTTTAGTCGTTGTCCTTGTTAATATGTGAATTGTTATTTATTTTTTTATTTATTTTCATCAAAAGTGGGAGCAAATGCCTACTCCTCCTTCTTTTTTATATAGGATTCTTTTAACTAATTTTGTGGTTTAAGAAATAGTTAAAATTAATTAAAAGTAATTAATATGTAGCAAATATAATTTTTTTTCTGAATATACTCCTATATATAAATAGGTAAATGTGAGAGGGTGATATTGAGATAAATGAAGAAAAAGAATATATTAAATGCATTAAATTAGGGATAAAATATGTAATAATATTAAATGCTCAGACAAGTTTAAAGAAGATTTATAAAAAAGAGACGGATCTATTCAAAAAATTGGATCTTATAATAAAAAATAGAAAGAAGGAGTATGCTCTAAGCAAAAACAAATTAAGTCAAACAAGAAAAAATTGGATTTACGTTGATGGTCACTTGAATATTTCGAGGGTTGAATGTTAATCATATTGGAAATATAATTCTAATTTCTATAAATAACAATTAAAACATACTCCCTACATCCTTTTTTATAGCAACAACTATCATTCTCTTTTTGCTCTTAAATATAAGTAATATTTGCAAGTTGTTTTAAATTTTAGATGCACATTTCCTATTTTGTTCCCATTAATTACTTATTATAATGCCCAATATAAGAGTATTTTGAAGAAAGAACTTCTAATTTCTACCTATTTATTGTCTTTAAGTAATTTTTTAATTTATGTGATGAAGTCTAAGGTTGTTTTATAAAAAGAATGGAGGGAGTATTGTTTTAGATGCTACAATTATAACTTACTTAAAATATCAGAGTTAGTTTGACTTTTATTTTGATCCTAAATATAAGATTTTTAATTCACATTGTCTTTTATAATTATTCATTTTTTAAAATAATCATCATGATAATTACACATGTTAAATATTCAAGTAAATAGTAATTCTAACTAATATATATTATTAGTAAGGTTATTTTAAAAAAAACAACATCTACTTACTACAAACAACTAATTCAGCAAATTTTTTTAATATATTCAAATCAAATAATTAGTTTTTATATTAAAATAATTCACAGAGAAAAAATAAATAGGGTGTCATCTTCATGCGTTCGTATGATCTGACTTCCACGATTGTGTTTCCTTCAGCACTTCGATGTTTGTTTTTCCTCTTCCCATGTCACGCAGTGGCTTTAATTTATTTAAGTGGCTCCCCAATTTCAAAATATCTGAAGAATAACTCGTAGTTATTTATCTCAAGATTTTGTTTTTTAAAATCGTATGACTATTTAATAGGACCATCTTTTATTTTTAATCAGTTTTTTGATTTGATTGATTGATATTAATTGTGATATGACGAGCTTCCATTTTAGATTTGATTGATTGATATTAATTGCGATATGACGAGTTAAATAGCACAAATAAAAATCTAATGTCCAATCATGCTTCATATTTTTCCTCCCTCGAACAACTCTTGGCCTCTTGTGCTTGCGCACCACGCTACATGGATTTGAAGTCAACTGTCATCACCTGCAAAGCGCTGCTCTCTACGAATTTATGTCCAAATAAACGACTTTTTTTGGCTATTTGGATTAATATTTAATACAAGTTCTTGTTTGTAAAGTCATTTTAAAATGCCGAAATCAAAAAAAGAAGTAGAAGAAGGAGATATTTTTATACTCTTCTAATATTTAATATAAGACTTATTTAACTAATCTGATTAGATTAAATAAGTTAGGTAAATTAGTTAATTATAAGAAATGTAACATGTTTTTTCTAAATATCATAATTATATATCTTCTTAATACTTTCTTTTCTTCTTCTACTTAATTATGGTTGAGAGAGTATCTATAGAGTAATTTAGAAAAAATTGATAAATATGAGAAATATGTCTTACATTTAGGAATCAAAACTAATTCAACAATTAAATCCTATATTAAGAAGGAGGAGTATACTAAAAATCACAGTGTAGACGGCCAAAAAAAAATCGAGAGAGCAATTCGTATTCATGTTTATTAATATTTGAATAAAATAATGAAAAACTTTGAATTCAAAAAAAATGTAATAAAATTTAATAACAATTTCACAGGATTCTCTCGCACATCTTCAAAATAGTTAAGCCTAACTACCATTTTCATGAATTTTATTAAATTAAATTTTGTATGTTAATATATTCATATATTTTCTGAAAAGCAATATAAAAAGATGATTATGTATGAGATTAGTGTTTTTTTTTTGGGCCACCTGTATGAGATTAATATCATAATTTTACCTTGACGCGCTGGTGATGTAAAGGAACGAGGACCGTAAACAATTTAAAATTAGTGATTGTGGACCCTACCATGAATTGATCATAGAGGGCTTCTCAATTCTGAATTCTCATTCCTGGTCGGTGGCCAACACTTCCAGCTCCAGATTGGTCACAGTCAGATCTCTCCGTTCTCTGTGTTTGTGTACTTCTGATAAATCTGCGAAACTTAAGCGATCCCTTCGGCCGGTATAGCAGTGGCAGAATATGGCTGCCGGAGTGAGCCGAAAAATATCTGCGGCATCAGCCAGGGCTCATACCAGAAGACACAACAAAAGCACTTCAACTCAGCTTCCTTCAGGTGCCTATCCTCTTTCTTCTTTTCACCTGACTTCTCTCGATCAAATTCTCCATTCGCTGCGTTTGAATCGAAAACTGCACTTTGCTATTTGTGATTATCGGGATCAACGCTCTACGTTTCATTTTAGTTGTGCTCTGATTGTAGAATAAGCATATACAGCAAGTGAGCTTCTAAAGGGGTGCAGTAAATTAATCTTAAGATATACGAACTTCACTTGACCGAGGCTTCTCTATGGCTATCTTGCTGGGAAGCCTAAAGAACTTATCCCGCTTGTGTTGGAAGTTGATATTTTCTGCTCCAAATGCTGTTGATTAAAGAATTCTTTATGTTAATCCACCGGAAAGGAAGCCTCGCGTTCCTATTTTTTAAACCATTGCCGATTAGTGCCAATAACGGTATCTTTTTAGACAAAAAATGGATGAACAAAAGCTTCCCGTGTTTTTCTTTATTAGCAAATTATTCAAAATTTCTGTATTTGTAACCATGGGATAGATTGATGGTTTTTAAGTACGCAAGGTAAACTGTCTCCCGACTTTCAATAAGAAACTACGAAGGTTAGAAATGCACTGGACCTGGCTAATTCCATTGTATCCCGTTTGAGATAATTTGTTCTCTATGTTATGTTACTCTTTTGAATGCTATTTTCCACTTCCAAATTCTAACGCCACAAGCTCTCAGGAATGCTTAAGGCGGCTCTAGCAGTGTTGTTCATTGGATTTCTAGCATGGGCTTTTCAGGCTATTCAGCCTCCTCCTCCCAAACCATGTGGCACTTCAAATGGACCTCCTGTAACAGCACCGAGAATCAAACTAAGAGATGGAAGGCATTTGGCATACCGTGAGTATGGTATCCCAAAAGATGCAGCCAATCATAAGATCTATGTCCATGGTTTTGACTCATGCAGGCATGATGCTGTTATTGCCGAAACCTTATCACCGGTAAGTATTTATCTTACAATTTCAGTATATTGCTTTTATATCACTCTAATATTTATCAATGTTGCTTTTTTCCCAGAAAATTACTGAAGAAGCAGGGGTCTATACCGTATCTTTTGACAGACCTGGTTATGGAGAAAGTGATCCTGATCCAAATCGAACTTTGAAGAGCATAGCTTTAGACATAGAAGAGTTAGCTGACCAGTTGGGATTAGGCTCCAAATTTTATGTAATTGGTTTCTCAATGGGAGGAGAGATTATATGGAGCTGCCTTAAATATATACCTCACAGGTGTGTTTAAATCTGATTTTATTTTATTCTGATGGCATTTAAAAGTGCTAAATAACTATGTCTATTTCTATAAACTGCATTTTTTCTTTTTATTTTTAGGCATGTTTGCATCTTCATGCTTGCCTATGTATGCTGCTGGTGTGAGATTTTGTTTTCAACCCTTCACCATCATTTTCTTTAATAATTTTGCAAATGTTGTCAGGCTGGCAGGTGCAGTGCTCGTTGCCCCAGTTGTCAACTACTGGTGGTCTGGTCTTCCTGCAAACTTAACTAAAGAGGCCTATCACCAACAAAAACTACAAGACCAATGGACGGTTCGCGTTTCTCACTACATGCCTTGGCTAACTTACTGGTGGAACACCCAAAGATGGTTCCCATCAAGTAGTGTAATTGCACATAGTGAAGATGTTCTTTCCCATCAAGACAAAGAACTTATGCCTAAGATGCAATATAGAAAGGATCATATGGTACGTATCCTGCCTTTAGATGGTTACTAGGACTGTGGCTTTGTAAGGAATGTTTTTGAATAGAAGACAGTTACAAACCAGTGGGTCATGTAACTCATAAATTATGTTGCATAGATCTATACCACTCTTGAAATTTGTTAGTAATTGTCTTGCTAAAGATCAGAACTGGCACCAATTCTTCAAAGTCGGTGTGTGAAGTGCATGCTCTGGTCTTTAACCATTGGAAATCCCTTTCTCCAACTATTGAGTGCTACATGAGGTCAACTGGCAACAACCCTCACTGGCTGTGTTCACTAATTCTTAATAATGTTGCCTTGTGTTTATATTAATCTTCTCTCCCTTCCCATCTACAGACTTCCTGCTATTTATAAATTCCATGAATCCTTTGTCTTGATAGTTATGTTTTCGAATTTAAGATTGACTTCTATGTAATATGTTTTAATTTTAAAGCAATATGGCATGGCAATTATGTGCAAATGATAAAGCTTGATTATGCCTGTTTATTGGTTTAGCCATCTGACATTCAATTGCTTTTTTTGACCTTAATAGCTTCTCTTTTAGTGAGTACCGTCTTTTGAAGTATCATTGAGTGTGTTTATTCAGGATTTGGTTAATTAATTGGAACTGGCTTTCTGATCTAACCTCATTATATTTATAATTTGCGTAGATTTTTCTTTTGGTTGTTCAAGCTTCAATTAATATCTTATTCTGTGAAATCTAGCGAGATTTCTCTGCTCAGTAGAGATTTATAATGTTTTTTATAATGTTGGTTCCACAGGCGCAAGTAAGGCAGCAGGGAGAATGTGAATCCATACATCGCGACTTGAATATTGGATTTGGGACATGGGAATTTAGTCCCCTGGATCTGGAAAACCCATTTAAGACTAGTGAAGGTTCTGTCCATCTATGGCAAGGAGATGAGGATCTGCTGGTGCCTGTTTCTCTGCAACGATACATTGCACAAAACCTGCCATGGATTCACTATCACGAGCTTCCAGGCGCTGGTCATATGTTCCCCCTTGCTGACGGGATGAGCGACACTATTATTGAGGCACTGCTACAGAAGAAGTAGGCCATAGCTTTCCTAGACGACTATTGATCAGCTTCTTGTATTTTTTCTGTCTCTGTTATGGAGATTCTGAACTTTCTGATCAGTTTGATCTGTATGATCAATTGACGTTCCTGTTTTGAGAGATGATCAAACATCGGCTGGAATGTTTTTCATAGAAGTTATTTATGCCCTTACCCCGGGAATCTCTATGCAGAGGCATTCTTAGATACCCATACCTCGGTATCTTGGAATCACTTTAGGGGGTGTTTGGAAACCAAACGATGGTTTAGAGAATAATTCTAGATAATAGATTTTACGAAGAATAGATTTTGTAAAAAAATGATTCTGATAAAGTGAGAGTGTTTAGATAATTGTTATCAGAAACACTTTTTATATGTGCAAATTACTAAAAAAGGCATAAGTTAATATGATAATTACATAAAATATAGATTTTATAATATATTTTAATTTAAAGGACTAAAATTGTTATAATATATATTTTTACCAACATAATAAGAACATATGAGAAAATAATTAATGAATATTAATAGGGACAATTGCAAAAAAGACCTTGGAATTGCAAAAACGCAGATAGGGACCCTTGACAACTTCACTATGGGTTTTGACAAGAATAATATGCCCTGAAGTTGTCAAAACCAAAGTGAAGTTGTCAAGGGTCTCTATCTGCGTTTTTGCATTCCAAGGTCTTTTTTGCAATTTCCCCTAATTAATATGTGTATATATATTTATAAAATATGAGATTAAAATGTTTTTGTAAAAAATGAATTTTTTTACCAACAGAAAAAAATTATTTTATTTTAAAGATTATACACATAAAATACCATGATATTTTTTGACAAATTAAATAAGCACACATAAAACAATTTATTATTTATTATAGTAATTAATAATAAACACAACACATATATATGATTCTCTTAGGCTCCACCTCGTACTGCATCTGAAACAATGAAAAAGAGATGAATAATTCGGGAGGGGTATATCCGTCTGGGCCAAAAAAAACAACAACAAGACATATATCCTATAGGCTCTCTCACACTCTCCTTTTTACCCTCCAAAAGCAAAATTTTTTGCTTATGCTAAAACCATGGTTTTGGTTTTTTTAATGATGTTTGGGTAATTTGGTTTTGGTTTTTTTTATGATGTTTGGGTAATTTTTTCCCCAAATCATGGTTTGAATCATCATCCAAACACCCCCTTAGTATTATATTGTCTCATGAGATTGAAGATTTTTATCGCATTAAACTTATAAATTTTATTTTTTAGTTCTTAGTTATGAATTTCGAATATGACCCTTTGGAACCTACTTAGAAACAATCATTTGATAATATTATAATTCACATATGTGACCAAGGATTCCATTCTTTGCTAAGCGTGGAGACACTCCAAAGAAAGAAGTCATATGATTTTAAATAATCATTTGAAGAATTTCAGCCCAGGAGAGAAGGAAAGGAATTTCAGTCATGGTGAGGATTTTACTTTTGTGCATGGATATTTTCTTATTAAAAACAATTTTATTTGAGACATTGTTAGATAGGGAGTGTTTGGAAAACCATAACAATTAAAATTATTTTTTTACAAATTAAAATAAATTTTTTTACATATTTACTTTGTACTCTATAAAATCATTTTTAAAATTATGAATTTGTTTCCACTGAGATTGATTTCTTAGCGCTTAGCAGAGACAGCTCTGGGCCTAACTACGTCACAAGGTATGCATATTGGGCTTATAGCAGGCCCAAACTAGCTTTCCCCGCTCGAAGGCGGGGACGGACGTTTCGACTGGAAGATGGAGAAAGTAAAAGAATACGTGTCGAGCACAAAACAAAGGATGCCCCCAAACGAGGTTGCGACGGGGACACCTGTCCTAAACGTGGCAAGCTCGCCATGCTGGCGTTTGAATTTTGCCATGAATACTGGCGTTTTGGCTTCTTTTTTTTTTTTTTTTTAAATCAGTTCATGTTGAATCGTGAGGGAATGACGGAGGAAGGTGGTCACAAATCTGCAGGGCTTAGTCAGCTCTTGGATTTGTGTTTGTTTGTTCTGACATGCACTGAATAATATGAGTGAATTCTCTGTTTAAGCTGAGACACAACCTTCTCTTTCTTCTTCTCTCTTCTTTTGCCTCTTGGTCTTCTTTTCGATGCCGCAGGTCTGCCTTGTCCCAAACACTTGTTCAAGTGCTTGCTTTGATCCAGATTAATTTTCTAGCACTTCAGCATTTGAGCAGATCTTGAGTTTCCAGGTATATATCCTTCTCTCTGCCGCTTAGTTTTAAAGAATTGATCACAGGGTTTGCTTTTGGGCGTGGTGCTTGACGTAAAAAGCATTGGCTTTCGTAATATTTCGGCTAATTATTTTAATCTGAATCGTATCAGAATTTTTTAGAGTGCTTGAGGGCGAATTTGAGAATCGGACAATACCAGCTGCTTTTCGTGATTATAAAATCATTTTTCTTGGCTGCTTTTTTGATATTTTCAGATCAATTACGTTTCCATCACCTTCTCAGAGAAATGCACCTTGAATATATCTCTATATCCTGTTAGGTCGTCTACATAAAGAACAACCATTCCCCAGCAATGGTCTCAAATTCAGCAAATAAGCTATAAAATATTATAACCAGAGATCAAGCGGTGGTCCACGGGCCTTGAAGCAGAAATGAAAGAGATCTACTGCATCTCTCTACCCCGATCTATGGTTATTTTGACGATATCCATACACGCTCAGTTGTGCCTAGCGAATAATATTAACCTGTCATCAACTATAACATATGATATCATTCTCAAAAAATAATCTAAGAGACGCTAGCACTTATGTTCAACAATGGTGAAAAGCATTTTCAGGCGTTGTCATTTGATGCACAACTCTGATTCTCTGTCAATATATGTTGTAATGAAAGAAATGAAACAGAAGTATGGCGTAGCTGTTAAAACTTGTTTCGTGTTGGTTTAGCAGGAGCAAGAAGAAAGAAAATGGTCGTGGCAGAAGGGGAAGTGGGCTCGTCAATAGAGTCTGACAAACAACCCAAAACCAAACAATGTCATCTCTGGGGGGGCAATCTTCAATATATGCTCTCACACTTGACGAGTTCCAACACAAGCTATGCGAAGAGGGCAAGAATTTTGGGTCCATGAACATGGACGAGTTTCTCAGTAGCATCTGGAACGTGGAAGAAAACCAAACCATCGACAACAAGTCTGTTGATAAAGGCACAAGAAAGCAGCCGAGCCTGTCTCGCCAGGGCTCTCTCACCATTCCCGCTCCGCTCTCCGGAAAAACAGTGGACCAAGTTTGGTCTGAGATACACAGCCAGAGTACCAACAACAACAACAATGGCGATGCCAGCAACAATGTTCGGAATTCCAAGTCTACCACACGCCAGCCCACTTACGGGGAGATGACTCTGGAGGATTTCTTGATCAAAGCAGGGGTAATTCGGGAACCATATCCTATGCCTGCTCAGTACGGGCTGTACCCGAATAACAAACCGGCAATGGGGCCGACTTTGATGGGATGCGCCGGAAATGTCGAGAGGGATGCTTCTGGGTATCCTCCTCCCAGGGTTTGCTATAGAGGCGGTGGGTACGTCCCGGCGCCGGTGAGCCCTGTGTCATCATCGGATGGGATGGCAGCGAGGGAGAACACAGGCGGGATGGAGATGGGACTGTTGAGAGGAAGAAAGAGGATAATAAATGGGCCAGTGGAGAAGTTAGTGGAGAGAAGACAGAGAAGGATGATTAAGAACAGAGAGTCAGCAGCGAGGTCCAGGGCCAGAAAACAGGTGTCCTCCATTTCTGAATCAACAGCCTGAGCGATGGAGGCTGAAGATATATTTTGGTGCCATGTTAATATTATCTTTTGTTTCTGCAGGCATACACCGTTGAATTAGAAGCAGAACTGAGCCAATTGAGAAAGGAGAATGCCCAGCTGAAACTGACTCTGGTAATTTTGAAGGATCGTTACAAATGTTCTTCTTTGTTTCTGGTGACTGCAAGCACCAACTGATAACAATTTTATTTAATTCTTCTTCAGGGAGCTTGAGAGGAGAAGGAAGCGACAGGTAATGAATGAATGATGAATGGTGCTTTAAATGCAGAAGAAAGCTAAGGTTTTATCTGATATGATTAGACAAATGATTTGGTCCATCTTCTGATGCAGTGTTTGGAGGAATTGAAGAATAGTGATTCTAGGGTTAAGACCAAAGCCCAAAAGGTACGAGACAAATTGAGAGCGCTGAGAAGGAACCAAAGTTGTCATTTGTGAAGACTGAAGAAACTGCATGGCATGGCCTGTAACCTCCGTTAATTTTATGTTTCAGATATTAGTATTCGGGGAGCCCACACAGGGGCCAACCGGTTCGTGACATGTTGCTGACCGAACAAATATCATTTAACAAACAGACGTGTATGTATGGTTTAGTACTTGGATTCAGACATTTGGTAATCAAACCGTGTCAGATAACTGGAATATCATTTTATGACGCAATTAACATTTTTCCCTTGAGAGCGTGTCATTTGTGAAGACTGAAAAACTGCATGGCAAAGTTGTCCTTTGTGAAGACTGAAGAAACTGCATGGCATTTTCCGTGTAATTCAGATATTAGTATTCGGGGAGCCCACACAGGGGCCAACCGGTTCGTGACATGTTGCTGACCGAACAAATATCATTTAATAAACAGACGTGTATGTATGGTTTAGTACTTGGATTCAGACATTTGGTAATCAAACCGTGTCAGATAACTGGAATATCATTTTATGACGCAATTAACATTTTCCCTTTTTTTTTATTTGCGTGTTTTTTCCTTTAAAAAACTGTTTACAAATTCCACTAATTTTCGCATATTTCAAACGGATTTTCGTGTCATTCTCTTTTATTCTTGTCAAAAGAAATAAAAAACTGAGTTCTTCCAAAAGATATCAAGTTCCTTAGTCGTTGAATCGTTCTTAGTTTTGTAAAATAAAAATCGGTCAACTTTCAGCTAAAAAAATGGGTCAACTCATTCAATACGACGAGATTAATCACCAATGTTCTCAAAGTATCCCGAAAAAGAGTCATTCAATCAACGAAAAGAATGTAGCGTCGGACATAAATAGCTTGTCCAGAAGAGGAAACCCAGCAAAAAGTGCTGCGCTGGAAAACCAAACGCATATTGAAGTGTAAATGAATGGGAGGGTGAGGTAATAAGGAGCAGAAGAAAACCCGTCAAATAAAAATAAATGAAGACCGCCACAGGGGGAAAAGGAGGTAATATCACAAAAGGCAAACGTACTGATCTGTTTTACATGAAGAATCAGCAACTTCCGATATCATGAGGTCATGTGATTCGTCCTTGACGAAATGAAATATCAACGAGCAAAAAGGCATATGAGAAATAGAAGTGCCTCCTCGTAAAGTCATGCCAATCCAAGAGTTTGTCAGGCTTCAAAGATTACAGCAGAATTCCCTACTCATAGTCACACTCAATCTTTACATTTATATATTTTCTTCCCAGGTGAATAATAGATTCGGTGAATTTAGCAAAAAGCTGACACTCTTCATGGGCTTTGACCTCTGAAACAACCCCATGAATAATCAATCTTTTCAAATTGGGACATCTTTCCAACAGTCCAGCGACCCAATCTTGGAAGAGCTCGTTGATAACAGTCCATCCAACTTCCAGCATAACCACATTCACCAAAAGAGACCGACCCTGCAACCCGTAATGAAGTACTCCATCTTTTAAATCATAGCTCAAGGAAAGGTGTGTCAACCGAGGAAAGCAAGAAGAAATTGTCTCTAAATCCACAACCTCATCGTCATCATCGAACACAACACCCCACAGCCTCAGCTTACATAAATTCGACGCTTTGGAGATCATATGATAAAATTTTGGCCACATAATTGTGAAGTTACAGACATCTACAATCTCGAGATTCTCTGTATTCTCACCAATATCAAGATGGATGACACTCACATCATCAATCTTGAGCGATTTCAAGGCTCCCTTGCCGGATAATTCAAATACCTCGAAGGTACAATCTTTGAGATGCAGGTTTTCAAGCTTATCTGCGTCAAATATGAGTTTGTCTAAACCAAATGACTCAACATAGAAATTTTTGACAGAAGAGCTGCTGAGTTCCATGGAAGCCTGTGAATCTGACATTGCAATTTCTGGGCTAACAATGGTCAGGGTTTCAAGTTTTGGACAAGCAGTAATTAAAAGGCTGAGATCCAATGCTGAAATGCTGACATAGCTTAGTGACAGTGACTTCAGGCAAGGAAATTTTTGATAACTGGGCTCTATACCTGTAATAGAATTATGAGCTAATGCCAACACTTCCAGTTTTTGCCTGCCACATTTTTCAATGATATTGAAATTTGGAGTCGTCTTCACATTATATAGTAATCGGCGCAAGGAATCCCTGGTATACATAAGCCAAGCAATGACAGGGGCAGCAGAAAATTCATCCACATCGTCCATGAAAATGGTTAAGCACTGCAGTGCCCGGGTTTGGAAAATCGTTTGAGTGATGAGTATTTCCAATCTACACGGGGTCAGCTCATGATAGATAGGCCAATCATTAGAAATGAAGGATAGAGTGTGCAGGTGATTGCGCCAAGCTTCTCTCCATTTCTTACACGTTGCTGATGCAATCACGACATCCCGAGCAGATCCAACATGGGATAGTATATTACCAATCACTTCGACGGGAAGGTGCTCCATACTTATCGGTAGATTGCAGAATTACGAATACTGAAGCAGACTAGCAATAGTTTCCACAAACTTAATATGAGTAGGGTCAACTTTAACACTTTATAATAACCTGTCCGACACATGTTAATTTCATAAATGAGACGCAATCTGAGTACTAATCCAATCCCAAAAAGACAAACAAAAGAGATTTTGGAAAAAAAAAAAAAACACCACACACACACACACACTCACAAGTTATAAGCCAAATGAAGAAACATCAGGAGCCAAGAAAATTGGAGGAGTGACTAAACTGTTAGCAAGGTACCGGTATTGGGGTATCTTATAAGGAGAAAGAATGCGCAATTTTGGAAGAGGACATGATGAAAGAAATTCAAACTTAAAAGCACAGAAGTAGGAGGGGTAAACAATAAATTCAAATTGGTAGAGCGACCGGAAGGAATCAGACTTCGACAATCATATTTTTCAGTCGTCAGGTACAGATAGGACAAATGCACTCAGATTCACAAACATCCCATCAAAGACGGAAAAAGGATAAGATTATGAATGATAAAAGCGGCTCACCGGAAGAAAGAAACGATCATCCTCTCGGGAAGCAATAGGAAACCGATTATCTGAACGGCCAAAGGAAAACAAACAGCGAAAGCGATGTCGATGTTGATATTGATTTTGATTCGACGAATGCTTGAAAGTAGAAAACCCAATGAATAGTGGAGCCACTAATCACGGAAAACGGCCGTCTCTAAGGGCAAGCTTTGGTTGGAGAAGGTGAAAGGAGTGGGTCATCAAACTGGTGTCGAATTGCAATGGCAGGTAACCTAACCCCGGTCAGGTGCAGCTAAGAAGTCATCAGCAGCGGCGACGACGACGAGAGCCCAGGAACCCCCGAACCACGGCTGGAATGATATGGCACTAGCGTCCGGGTCTGAAATGGTGGATGGATTGATTTACTTCGATGGGATGCCAATACGAGGCCGATGCGACTCTTTTGTCTTGGACTGACATTCCACTTTTAAAAGTGGAATATGATGGCCAGGCCCAGCCAGCCATCAGCCACCACAAATTCACAAGGCACCGAAGAACAGATCTGACAAGTTCCTGAGAAGATAAACCCATAGATCAGACACCATAGCCCCTGCTTGGTACGAAATTCTGTCCTCGTTGAGCTTGCATCCACAGTGGTCGTTAGGTCTCGACTGTAGTGAAGATAAGTATTCTTGCCAGAAAAGAATTATTTTTGCCCTTAATATACAAGGAAACGATGTAGTTTTGCATGCGGTGGAGCCAAAAATTTGCCAATTTGGGGTGGGGGGTAAATTTCTGACATGTGAAGATTATGACCACCGTACAAAGTCGTTGTTAGGGAAGACGTGTAAAGTTTACATTTTCCAAAGAAAGCGTGAAGATCGCGTCAACATTACCTCGAAGCCCAAATCCATTTAATTAGCTGATTTTATTTTGATTTTAAACATAAATTTTTTTTAACCCCTTCATTATAAAACATACTCCTCCGGTCCTTATTATAAAACCCAATTTGACTTTTTATTTAGTCCTAATTATAAGACCCAATCCATTTTCTCTTTTATATTTATGCATTTTTTTTCCAAGATAATCCTTCTAATAATGATATTTTTAGCCCATATACTTAATTAGCAAGGATATTTTAGGAATAACAACACTTATTTATTATAAATAACCAACTTAACTTACTTCCTTAATCTCCTCAAATAAGTCAATTGGGTCTTATAATTAGGACCGGAGGAGTAGTACTTATCTGATGTTCTAATTATAAAATCTCATTTATAGAATATAAACAAAATCTTATAATTAAAATAATGTTTTTGGGTTACGAATTTAAATATCAAATATATAATATATTTTCATTGTGTATACTTACAAACAAGAATTAAGTTATGGACTTCCCTTACGGCTTATGTCAATTTGCACTGCTTCTTATGTGACCCTTGCTTTCTATGAAGCTTTCAGAACTTAGAAGTGCACGTGCGGGGTGCTTTAGAACTTGAGTAAATGGATAAAATTAGCTATTAACAATCCCCTTCGCCGGGGGGCGCCTGATCAGCCACGGTCAGAGAACTTAAAAGATAAATTGCCCTGAGCATGGATTTTACGAGAAATCTATAAATGCATTTGCCACTTGATTTTATTTAAGAGGACACTTGAATAACTCGTATTATAAAATTACTGCCAATGGTGGTTAGGCTGAAGTTGAGGGTCTGAACCTTGTAAACATGACAGATTGGATAAGATTGGATATCAGGAGATTGATTTGAGATTAAGTTGAACAATTCTCCAATCTAATTTGGTGAGGTTGAATGTCAAATAATTAAATGAAAAGTATATGCTATTTTCGGCCCTAAATGTAAGACCTTGTTTGATTTTTATTTTGATTATAAATATAAAACACAAATCCATTTTGTCTCTGATATTTGTCTATTTTTCTTAAGATAATCTTTGTAATAATAATAGTTATAACTAATACACTTGATTACGAAGGATATTTCAAAAAGGACAACACCTATTTATTATAAATAATTAATTTAACTAATTTTTTTAATATACTCAAATTAGTTAACTAACTTTTATATCTAGGACAGGTAGTAGTTACCAATCATTCTAATGAGAATCTATGCAATTACATGAATGAATCATGAGAAAATGAGTGCCACAAATTTTCTAGAAGCCCTGTATTTCTTTGAATTAATATTTTAAAAATATTGAAAGAGAGATACTTTTGTTTTTTGGTAATGGAAAGAGAAATACTTTAATTGTCGTTTTACAACCTCAAAGATTTTTTTGGGTAACTCCAGTCCAATAATATGTGTTCTGAATAACTCTGGAGGGCAAGCCATGTCTTTTTTTGGAGCCCAGTGTGAATGGCCCAAGAAGCAGCAGAATTGGTGTTTTCTTTTTCACGCCTCAGATTTTTCGTCGCTGCGGGCAATTTTCCTTTTTAGTTTTTATCATCAACAAAACGGACAGTGCCGAGTGAAGACTGGTGACTACTGACTAGTGGCTACAGCTCATGCTCAGCTGCTCAAAAAAGGCGCCGAAGGAGAACATCGCTTCCCACCGTTTGGGTTCCGCTCTTTAATTCTCGTGTTCGAGACCTCTTCGTCTTCTTCAGGTAGTTTATATGAATTCTTGTTTGTTTACCATTGCTAATGGTATTTATCTTTCTCTCTCCAACCGGAATTTTGTGCTATTGGTGTTGCATTTGCTTTTTCGATCTAATCAATTGATTGACGTTCGAGATTGCTGATTTTTTTTTTCCGAGATTGCGGACTATGGGCTATATTATGCAATTCGCCGTTCTAGTTGTAGTTCATTTTACCCGAGCCCCTTCTCAACGAGACAGCGCCTTTTTTTAATTAAATTTATATTCCGCCTTAATATTTTTGGGGCACATTTGTTTTTTTTTTTAAATGAATGTTTTTGTTATTGGTAAACAGGTATTGTCAGAAAGAATTCTGGGCGAATCAAATGCTTGTGTCTCGTGAGCCTCTAAATTTCTTCATCGATTGACCTGCCTATCGGAAGTCTGGCTACCTAAAATGGCCACTTCTATGTCTACAAATTTTGCACCTTCGAAAACTATGAATGCAGCAGGGGTGCTAACTGTTCACGGGGGAAGAACATTGACAGAAAACTACACAGGGAGAAGTTGTGGCATGAAATATGACTGGCATGGATATTTTGGTGGCAACCGAAAGTCAGCGCTGCTTCAGGTTAAGTGTTCGGCCAATTCCCACAACGTCAGCCCATATCATAGCCAGGACCCTTTTCTGAATCTACATCCTGAGGTTTCAATGCTCAAAGGGGAAGGGAACAGCAGGGCGCACAATCCAAGGAATGATAAGACTGCTGGAAATGTCCCTGAGAGCTTAGGAGATGCACCTAGTCCGAGCAATTACAATGAAGCGAAGATCAAAGTTATTGGCGTGGGAGGTGGAGGATCTAATGCGGTCAATCGCATGATAGAGAGTTCCATGAAAGGTGTAGATTTCTGGATAGTTAATACTGATGTTCAAGCCATGAGAATGTCACCTGTCATCCCTGGTAACCGTTTGCAGATTGGTCAAGAGCTTACACGGGGTCTTGGTGCTGGTGGCAACCCTGAGATTGGGATGAATGCTGCAAAAGAAAGCAAAGAATCAATAGAAGAGGCAGTTTATGGAGCTGATATGGTCTTTGTTACAGTAGGTTCAACTATTATCTTATCGGCAATAATAGCTTGTCCTAAGTGAAATATTGTTTTATAAATGGTAGGCTGGCATCTCATTGTCTCAAAAGCCCAAACATTAGCTATATGAGCAGTTGAGCACGAGATATATGGAATTCAATATCCCTTATGTTAAAATCGTCTTTAACATGGGGATCTCAAATTTTCACATACCTTTGATTATATTTGATTTCTAGAAATCTTGGACTTTAAGATTTTGGCATTTACTGTGCCAAAATATCTTAAACACCGGTGCTTGCAGGTTCAATACATTTTCAATTATTGGCATGTGATTTTAACCTTGGAAGCTCCAATTCTTTTTTGCAGGCTGGAATGGGTGGAGGAACCGGCACTGGTGGAGCTCCAATTATTGCTGGTGTGGCAAAGTCGATGGGCATACTGACTGTTGGTATTGTCACCACCCCTTTCTCTTTTGAAGGACGAAGGAGGGCAGTTCAAGCCCAAGAAGGAATCGCAGCCCTAAGAGATAATGTTGACACTCTGATAGTCATTCCAAACGACAAATTACTGACTGCAGTTTCTCAATCTACCCCTGTAACTGAAGCTTTCAATCTGGCTGATGATATACTTCGGCAAGGTGTTCGTGGTATATCTGATATTATTACGGTATTGAAACTGCAAACATCCTTCAATGAAAACAGACCTATTTACTGCATTCTCCCTCGACCTCGTCATTCCATTTTCTGCTTGAAATTGATTATGAAGGAGTAAAGGACAAGGATGAATAAAAGGGAAACCCTAGATGTGTTTTCTCCATTTCTTTGGACAATAGCTCCTATCCAATCAGCTTTTAACATATTTGTCTTAACCTTATCTATGCTCATGTTTTGTTGATTGATTGCAGATTCCAGGATTGGTAAATGTGGACTTTGCTGATGTCCGAGCTATAATGGCCAATGCAGGTTCTTCACTAATGGGGATAGGAACTGCAACTGGTAAGCATGGAAACTGCACATGGTGCTACTCACATTATAATGCAGTGATTGGAATAAGTAGGAATAAGAACTTTGAGTTTTGTGCTTTGCTCACTAAAGAATATGTGTCTAAAGGGGTAGGGTGTACTTAAATTTTTGGGGTAGAAGATGTATTGTATTATTTTATATTGCGCATGTCGAAATCACAAGACTGGAAGCTTTAAAGTTCTGGCTGGACGCATTGGTGGTGTATGGTTTTCAGAAATCAAATTTTACTTCTCTCCACCACTGTCTCTTGATGATGATATGAAATCTTGACCTGTTCATCTTTCTTTCTTTTCTTTCTTTCTTTGGTTTTTTTTTTTTTGGGAATTGATGAGCCTGTTCTGGTCCATGAATCATGGAACTTCGATCTCCTATTTGTGTTTTGTTTTAGGGAAGACGAGGGCTAGAGATGCTGCATTAAATGCCATCCAATCACCTTTGCTGGATATTGGCATAGAGAGGGCCACTGGAATTGTGTGGAACATAACAGGCGGCAGTGATCTGACCTTATTTGAGGTAGATAGACATCCCTCTAACCATTGTAGATTTTTGTTTGCTGACTGTTAGTCATCGTCATCCATGTTTTTCCCCCCACACTCGTTGAGTTTCTTCTTTTCTTTTGTCAAGATTGCCAGTCTCAGTTTTCCATGCTTATATTTATGAAGGCAAGCAAAATATATGAGTTGGATGTAACTTTGTTTAAAAATAGTCTGCCTCTGTCAAGTGATTGTGATTTCGAGGCTGTGAGCTTTCCTTGAAAAACTTTAAACTTCGATTCAGAATTTGAGCAGAGGCCTCTCTGAACGGCAAACTTGGTGTTCATGCTTTCAGTGAAAAACAAAAATGTATTGTTGCCTTTCTGTATGCTACATTTTATAACTTAATCATTTACAGGTAAATGCTGCAGCAGAGGTTATATATGACCTTGTGGATCCTACCGCTAATTTAATATTTGGAGCAGTGATAGATCCATCGCTCAGTGGTCAAGTAAGTTATAATGTTAGCCTTTGGCATAATTTACATGAATGGCTGCATATAACGCAGTTGCTCCTGCAGACAAATCTTTATTAACTCGCTAATTATCCATCTGTTTGGTGCTCATGTCATTTGGTTCTACACAGGTAAGCATAACGTTAATAGCAACTGGGTTCAAGCGTCAAGAGGAAACTGAAGGGAGGCCCCTGCAGGTATGGGTCAACACGCTCTCTTTCCTGCTGTCCTGGAAATCAATAACTCTGCCTTTTGTATTGAACGCAGGCAAGTCAGCTTACACAGGGAGATACGACCGGAGGAATCAACCGGCGACCTTCGTTCACCGATGGTGGTTCAGTTGAGATTCCTGAATTTTTAAAGAAAAAAGGGCGTTCACTTTATCCTAGAGCTTAATACTCCTTTTAGCCTGCTCTGCCTTCTTTAAATCCTTCCATTTGTCAAGGGGTGGAAAAATATATATAATAATAAGCACTTCCATTTCTTGATGAGTGCATGGACTTTTAGGAATGTAAACAAACTGGCCAAGGTATTAGGTCCCTTTTTTGCCTTGGTTGGCACCTTTAGGTTAGAGTTGTGCATATCCTTTGTTCATGAAAGTCAAGTGTTTCTAGTTTCTTTTTTTCTTTTTTTTTCAATAAAGTGTTTCTAATTTCTACTTTGTTGTTACCCCGGGGGAGGGAGCGAGCTTTCTACTTGGTCGTTTGCCTACTAACTAGAGATTTGCATGTTTGCTTGCGTAGCTAGCTTGTTTGTGAGTTGGCCGGCCAATAATTCGCACTATTCGCAATATATTTGACGTGGATCGTACCTTGCTCTATTCTTAGTAGTATGCTCGAAGTTTTTAAATGAACTTAGCCTTTTTCCCCCCCCCCCCGGGGAAATTTCTAGTTAATCGCACTTTATCTCTATATTTTCAAATTAATGACCCCTTTTTAGGCACCTTTTTTTTGGGGTTAGAACGGTCCAAAACAAAAAGGTGATAGGAAACAATAGAACATTCTAATAGAGATCAGGATTGGGTCCTCTCAATTAAACTTCAATTGAAGGATATTAGCTATTGGATTGTGGTCTAATGGTGCTCCGGAGAGCTACAAATTTATTTTTTTAAAAAATAAATAAAAATATTTATCTCAATATCATTATATCAGGATCTGATGGTTAATATCCCTCTATTAATAAAAATCAACTGAGTGTACTTTCGGAGATCCAAATTTTGAGAGTTCATATCTCTTGATAAATTAACTTATTTTCCTTTTTATTTTTTAATAGGAAAGGCAATACAGAATCTTGAAAGATAAAAACCCTTTCAATTTTGAGATTTTTGAACATCCGCCTTTTTGCCACTAAATATTTCTGTTGATGCATTAATGAAATCTGTCGCATCATATTAAAATAAAGATAATTGATTAATTAAAAGAAATTTTAACTGAGTTTTTAAACATGGTGTTAAATGTTCATCTCACGGTTGTGAACTAAAAAAAACTTTTTTGGGGGGGGGGGGGGGACTGTGCCTACTTGTGCGGTTTCTACACTTAGGAAGGCGTGAATTAGTGACTATGGGCTGGAAAATACCCTTAGAAAAATGGAGATTTTAGTAACCCCCAATCTCTCCAATAAAAAGCAAATTTTATTTCAGAGGAACCTCCTAGCTGAAGTTCTAAATGAGCCACACTCATCGGTTTGTTGTGTTTTTGTGATGATCAACGAATAATGAGTGGTCAATATTTCTTATCGAATGTTTTTATTGCTCCATTCATGGAATGTGATAACCAACCAAATGCCTTTGGACGTCATGGGAGAAAGTAACTTCAATACTTCCCACCGGGAGTGGATTTTACAAGCCATAGGCGTCACGGAGATTTTCTTCTCTTTCCAACAAAACAGCAAGGTAAACAATCAAGGGAAGTGTATTTCCTTGAAATTTCTTCAATGGTTTTCTAATTGTTAGCATTACATTCCTTCACAAACCATCAAGCTTTCAGGCATTACCAGTAATCTTTACCGGAGCACGAACCATTCACAAAATAGTGGAATCTACTGCTATCTCTAACAATTACAATTCTCCCGATAACTTTAGACATGAACTTAATGACAGAACGACAATCAGCACAGATTAGATTCTTCTTCACAATAATTGGCTTCCCGATTGGCATGCTAATTGGTGAAAAAGCCACAGCAATTCTCTCATTGTGATGATGAAGATGCTTCTCTTTCAATGCCTTGTCCATCTCAACCAGAACTAATTCTGCCTGAGGAACATGTCCTGCATTCTTTATTTGATCAAATAAGACTGCCAAGCTTTTCATAACTTTCTTTTGTGGATGGGACTAGTCTTCAGCTTCAAGTATATGGGTTCTGTTTTGGATATCAACCCAGCTATAACCTGGCAATTTCTTTATGTTTCCGTCTCTCATCATCTTCCTCAAACTAACATCTTCGCATTGTCCTTCCTTAGCAAAAATATTTGACCGCAGAACATGAGTTCCACTATTTTCAGGTTCAAGCTTCATCAATTTTTCTGCCGCAATTTTGCCCCTTTCCTAAAGCATTTGGCTCAAATGGCATATTATTTATAAAATCTTCAGCTTCTTTGAGCTTTCCCGCTCGACCAAGTAGATCAATAACACAACTGTAATGCTCCTCTGGGCATCACCCCATAAATCTTGTCCGTGGAACAAAAGAAGTTTAGTCCTTCTTCTACAATTCCTGTATCACTGCATCTTATTAAAAGACTGACAAATGTCATTGCGTTTGGTTTAATCCCTTTGTCGATCATCCGCTGGAAAGTTTCAATGGCATTTCTTCCTAAACCATGCGGTGCAGAGGCTCCCAACAATGAGTTCCATGCTACATTATTTGGTTTCGCGATCTACTCAAACACTTGGGTTGAGTGATCAAAAAACGCACGTTTTCGATACATATCAACAAGATTTGAAGCAACACAAGGGTCTCTATCAAAGTTAAATTTGACACCTTGGCCATGAAGCTGGGTTCCATGTTCTAGTGCTGCTTGGTTAGCACAGACGATTACTAAGCTAGAGAAAGTAAATTCATTAGGTTCAACTCCTTGCCTCCGTAAGTCAACAAAAGTACTTAGAGCATCTTGGATTTTGGGCCCATCTCAACGTATCCATCAATTGGAGCAGTATATGACACTATATTCCTACAATGTTTGGAAGATTTTTGAAGCACTTTCCATGTCTCGAGACTTCGAATACAAGTCTATGACAGCATTTACTAGAATAGTATCCAATTCAAATCCCCTTCACAATAGTTGCGTGGAGGGACTTCCCAAGATCAGAAGACTTTAGTGATCTACAATAAAGTGCTACAAAGTGCATGCTGATCAGTCAAAATATCATCACTGATCATCTTCTTATAAGCTATCAAAGCTTCCTCACAATCTCCATTCTTCACATAGCCATCAATCAAAGAAGTCCACAATACCTGGTCCTTGCAAGGCATCTCATTAAAAACCTTACAAGCATCATACATTATTCCATGCTTCGAGTACATGTCTGCCAAATTACTCTCCACAAATAGTTCGTTGCTACAACCACACTTCATCGCGAGACTATGCATTCGTGTCCCAAGCTCAATCGATTCAAGAGAGACACAAGCTCGAAGAACACTCGAAAAAGAAAATTGCGTTAGTGCTTCTCCAGTATTCCTCATTCGACAAAAAGTATTCAGAGCCTCCTGAAACCTCCAATCTTGAGAAAACCCACTGATCACTGCTGTCCAAGAAACCACGTTTCCTTTTGGCCTTTTGTCGAACAGTTTGATAGCGCACTCTAAGTTCCCCATTTCTTGAGTACATGTCCATTAAGTGATTGGTGAGGAATGTGCATAGTGGATGGGCACCTCGTATGAGCTGAGCATGCGGCTGCTTTCCTTTGTTTGTTTAACTCTCTAGTTTGTGCATAGCTTTGAATAAGGTGAGCCCCCTCTGTCATGTCCTTCAGCTTGTTACTTCCCCCCCATAAAAGCGTCCCCATATGACTGTTCATGAATTCGTTTCAGCTGGACCATCGAGCCTGTAATAAGGTGAATTTGAGTTTTTATATCAGTTTACCAAATAGTTTTTCAAATAAAAGAATATCATTTTGTCAAAGAGTTTTTCAATTAAAAACTACTGTAAATCAGCCATTCCATTTCATAGTGAAATTTCAAAAACACATCATGCAAAACATCTACGGATATAATTGCAATAGACATCCAATTCCGGTGGATGTAGATGGGATCCATCTGAAGATAGATAAGATTAGTGAGGGTATTGCCTTCTGCTTTTGTCAACCATGTCAAGTTCACATGGATACCTATCCCACATATCAATTCTTTCACCTCGTTTTATCTGCATCACTTGGAAATGTAGCGTTGAATCGTTACTTAATGGCCTTGTTGTGATCGCTTTCTTCAACTTTTTATGTGAAGCCAAAGGAATTATCATATTTTACATGACTGCATCATTTTATTTGAGTTCGTGTTTTCTGTTTCATATCATCATATAATATTTCTATCTCGTGCTGTTATACTTCTTAAACTTAAGGCATTTTGAGTACAAAATCCCTCAGATAATACTACCTCCGTCCCAAACTAATCTGAATAGATTAAAGAGATAAGTTAAGTTAGTTATTTGTAATAAATAGGTATTGTCTTTCTTAAAATATCCTTACTAATTAAATATATTAGTTAGAACTACCATTATTAAAAGGATTACATTAGGAGAAAATACGCAAGTATAAGAAATAAAGTGGATTAGGGTCTTATATTTAGAACTATAATAAAAGTCAAATGAGTTCTTATATTAAAGATCGAATGCAATATTATTATACTATTACATGCAATACTTAGCATGAGATTTGATTTTTTTTAATTAATTTGGATAGATTAAAAAATAATTAAATTATTTTTTTCAACCAGAACAATATTTTCATGCACAATGTGGCTGAGATATCCGAGGAGGGACCTCAGGAAAGATGGTGGGGCCAAATTTCAGGGAAACCACCCACTTGGCCATACAATCAGCCGCAGTATTTCTCTGCCCCAAGGGGAATGACCGGACTCGAGAGGGGAGCCCCCGGTTTGCTAGTTCCCTCCAAAAAACTCATTTCTGTAATGTTTCTATGTATTATTTGTCCTGCAAGAGGGTGTAATAGTGGTTTCCTGATCTTGGAGGATGCAATCTCCAAATGAAAAGACATGTCCAGTCCCATACCAGCTAAATCACAAAAATAGTTTGCAAAAAAAAATTCAACACATAAAATAATAATGTTTTTTTATGGTGACCATTAAAATTTAAAATATCTTTTTCAGGGAACTCCAAAAAAAAGTCAGTTTACATTCGAGTGGACAATGATAAACCACTGGTTACGATTGCCTACGCAAATCAAATTCATTAACCTCATTGGTCGAGAGCCGAAAATGAGATATAACTTCCCGGATCAACATGAACCTCTCATCCCTCCAAAAATCTGCCCAGAATTATGAGGAATCCCTGGCTCTCCACACCTATTCATTTTCTTATGACCTCATTAACACTAACACACACACACACCCACACAATTTACATTAAAAATAAATGACCCCAGCAAAATTGCAATGCTAGATGCTTTTTTTTTTCCCCCTCTTTTAGTACGTGCATCTTACTACTGGATT